AAATTCGAACCTTGAACGTTAATCTTTTGGTGACTGTTTTCTGCTTCTATAGGGAGTTTAATTGGTAGCATATTGTGATGGTGGTAAAAATGTATTATCTATACTATTAAAAAAGAAGTATATTTTGTGTCTAAACAGAATTTACTTAGTTTTCTACTATTCTGTTTTTGGATATCTATTATTTCTGTTGCTAAACATATTTTTAATTTGAATAATTTGTTTATTTATTTTCGAAAATTTTAAAAATAATATATTTGAATTTTATTTTTAAAAACAATTTCGATAAAATTTTAATTTTAATTCAATTAGTTTAGATTTTCTTTGATATAGGTTAGATTAATTATCAAAATTACAAAAATCAGTTCTTATTATTTTTATAAAAATAGTAATAGGATATTAATTTATGTTATATTTGAATATTTAAATTTAAATAATATTTTTATAATGATAAAAATGATAAATGATATAGTATTATATACTTTTTATAATTAATCAATTTTCAAAATTTTTATTTTTATTTTGTCGACAAATAGAAATATTTAAAATTGAATTTTTTATGTTATATTGTAATATGAATGGATGGGATAGAATTATGTTTTATATTCATGATCATTTTCGGTTTAATCGAATGGACGTGTTAAAATTATATTTTTATTTTTTAAAAAAAAAAATTTTACTTAAACGCAAAAAAATAAATTTTATCTATGCACAAAAAATAAATCTATGTCATTTATTAGAAAAAATATTATATTTATAAAAATACATAATATCTTTAAAATTAGATTAAAAAAATTAATTTCCCATGCGGACATATGGAGTAAAATCTAATTTATCAGTTATATTAAAGTGGTTTTTATATAAATATAACCATACAAAAATGCTTGTACATAAGATAAAAATTACAATACAAAATAAAATCAATAATGTAGTTGAAAATCAAGAAATAAAATATAGCGCGAATGGCGATTGTCTTTATTTGTATTATTTTAGTTTATATTGTTTACTTTATACCCGCTCTATTCTATTCTGAAAGAGGGGATTCGTGCAATGCTCTATTAAAAAACTCTTTTTGTCTGGTATGGTGGAGAATATAATAAAAACAGTTTTAGGGCGTCTAGAATTTGGTGGAAAAAACATTAAACATCACGCTTGATGCCAAATAAAAAAATAACTACAATGGTATATTTTCATTTATGTATTAAAATTAAGAGGTTTTAAGGACATTAGATTATGGTAAATGTGAAAAGAAAGGAGTATTCTCATTCATGGTAAGTAATATGTGATGATGGTATAAAGTGTACTATCTATTGTCAAATTTATCAGTTAGATGAAGGCGACCGTGGTACAAATATGGCGATACAAAAGTGTCGATAAATAAGATAAAAAAGGTGATACATATAGTACAAGCGTAGTATTTAAAAGCATATAAAAATGTGGTGTGATTTGTATGATGTCATTTTCATCTGAAATTTATGGAGAATAAAATAAACACATATTTTCGTCACTTAAATTTTGAAGAAAAAAATCGCAAAAATTCTAATAAAACATCACGACTGATGCCAACAAAAATTACTACAATTTAGATATTTTCATATGTATCTGAAAATAGATTTTGATATGAAATGTTCATTACTTCATTGTCAAACAGTAAGACACTTAAGATCTTAAGAACTTATAAGAGTTAACAGCCGTAATTAGATTATTACAACATATAAGCACAACATTTTGATCTCTCTTCGGTGATATTAGATCATTCAAGTTATCGGTATTATATAGATGTTTCTGGAAGAAGACTGATACTTTTTAGATTTAGGTTTGTATTGTTTTCAAGATGGTATAGAAGGATCACTGAAGAGAAGTATCAGTTGACGCAAAATTTTTTTTTTTTTACACTCTGGATTAGAATCTTTCTTTGGATTATGCACTGTATGATTTTACAATAGAAACGACGATACCTTTTGCAATAGATTATTCTATTTTAGTGAAAATAATGTCTTGCATTTTTTAGTACATTTGGAAGAATTTGTGAAATATAAAAAATGTTTCTTTTTTTCTATTTCATTTATCTCACCCGTAACCATTAGAAGAAAGAAGAACAAGTTAGCAAATAATGATGTCTCTAACCATTTGAAACCTTTATATATGTATATTTTGTATCTGTAGTTTAAATATCTAAACCATAAAAAGTATTTTAATGTTGTTGGTAAAGAACATAATTGAATAATTATTTTTCGGTAATACGTTACTTTACAGTGTTAATACTCCTTTTGACAAGTGTATATGTCTAATGTGTGAACAGTGTTAATTTAACAATTATTGCATTAGTTCTATAGGATTCAGTAAACATTAATTTTAAGAAAGTGTATGACAAAGCTTTTTATTATATTGTGTAAAACCATAATTAAATATTCTAAAGAGGGATTGAAGGAACAGGAACACCAACAAAAAAGTTCCTGTTCATTTTTGCATATAAATCTTTCATTGATCATTGAGACAATGCGATTTATGTGTCATGCCAAAAGATATTTAAGTTAATTCAGTATGAAGTATTTGCAATTTTAAGTTAGCCACTAACACTTTTTTTTTTTAATAGATGAACCCTTCTGGAACATTGTAATAATTTACTAAGCATTTTCGAATGTTTGATTAGCATCTACCAAAATTTTGAACAATAATAATTGGTTGACAATTTTGTGCGAAAAAATTTGTTTGTCACTTTGAATTTTAGTATCAAATATATTTTTGTAAACGCCTAATTAACACCTATCAAAATCTGAATATTAATAATATTTTGATAATTTTACATGATAAAATTTGTTTGTCACTTTGAGATTTTAAAACATATTTCAATAGTTGAGTGAAATCTATCAAATTTCGAACATTAAAAATATTTTGATAAGTTTTACACGAAAAACAATTATATATCATCTATTATATTAAAACAGAATCACATTTAGTACTTGCTTCCAAACACTCCTAATTTTTTTAAGTGTTTAAAAATAATTTTAATAATTATTTATATTTAATCTTTGATTGATCATTGAGACAATGCGATTTATGTGTCATGCCAAAAGATATTTAAGTTAATTCAGTATGAAGTATTTGCAATTTTAAGTTAGCCACTAACACTTTTTTTTTTAATAGATGAACCCTTCTGGAACATTGTAATAATTTACTAAGCATTTTCGAATGTTTGATTAGCATCTACCAAAATTTTGAACAATAATAATTGGTTGACAATTTTGTGCGAAAAAATTTGTTTGTCACTTTGAATTTTAGTATCAAATATATTTTTGTAAACGCCTAATTAACACCTATCAAAATCTGAATATTAATAATATTTTGATAATTTTACATGATAAAATTTGTTTGTCACTTTGAGATTTTAAAACATATTTCAATAGTTGAGTGAAATCTATCAAATTTCGAACATTAAAAATATTTTGATAAGTTTTACACGAAAAACAATTATATATCATCTATTATATTAAAACAGAATCACATTTAGTACTTGCTTCCAAACACTCCTAATTTTTTTTAAGTGTTTAAAAATAATTTTAATAATTATTTATATTTAATTTCGAAAATTAGTTAATTTAAATATTTTTAGAATTCCTTAAATATAGGTAATTTAGATTTGATTTGATTTGATTAAAAATAATAAATCAGATATTAATTTAGATTTGATTTAAAGATTCTAATTTAAATAATTTCTATACTATTAAACATTTTTATCAAAAATATGTAGAATTTTTGAAAAAAAAATAATTCACATATGAAAAATAGTGGTCATATTTGAAATATAAAATATTTATAATGATGTAAATGATATGATATTTATGTTGCTTATATAATATATTTACGATTATGATTTATTTACAAATTAATAATAAAATAATAAGTAAAATTCAAATATATAATTTAAATATTAAAAATATTTTTTTTTTAATTTATAGAACTAAAAATATATATAAAACCGGGTTAAAAATATTTTGGTAACTAAAATCACTAATTTTGAATTATACATGTATGTCGAAAATATATTTTTCATACTAAATAAAAACAGAAAAAAATTAAAAATTATTGCCATACACTAAAATGTTGTTTGAAAAACCAGTTGTACACTCCCTTCGTTGATTAAATTTTAGAAAACTATAATGCTAAATAATACTGTTAATACATCTCAAACTTTTAACAAATATTTATATTATACGGTAATATGAACGGAAAAGTTAGAATTATGTTTTTATAATAGTTCATTTTGAATTAATATTAGCGGACGGGTTAAAATTATATTTTTATAATCATAATTAATTTTAATACTATAAAATTATATCTAAATACAAAAGTCAATATTTTCACTTATTAAAAAATATATTTATAAAAATAATTATATCTAAACTTAAAAACACAAATTATATTACGAAATTCGTTAAACAATAAAAAATATTCATGTGCAAATGCACGGGGTTAGAATCTAGTTTAAGTTTTAAAACTATATACATCTCTCAAACGTGCGATTTACACCTATCAAATTTTGAACATTAATAATATCTTAACATTTACGCGGGAAAATTTGTTTATCATTTGAAATTAATAATACTTTCATAATTTTTCGCAGAAAAATTTGTTACCATTTTTAGTTTAAGGATCAAATACACTTTTCAAATATACGATTAACACTTATCAAATTTTGAACATTAGTAATATCCTAACGATTTTACGCGGGAAAATTTGTTAGTTATTTTTTTAGATTTCAGATCAAATACAACTTTAACGTTGAGTAAAATCTATGAACGCGTGAAAGTTCGTTTACATTTTAAGTTTAGGATTAAATTGGATTAAATAGTCCGATTAACATTTATCAAAACTTTGAACATTGATAATATCTTGAAAATTCAGCACATAACTTTTTTTTTGGTTATTTTCAGCTTACGATAAAAAAAGAAGAAAGATGCCTTTAAACAGAGATTTCACTGATCTTCATCTTCTTCTTTTTGTCCTTCCCAACTCCGAATTGACTGCCCTAATTTACAAAAAAAAAAATGAACCTTGAAAGTTAAGCTAACTCATTTTCAACACTCTCATCAGCTACTTCATCGTCATAGTGCCATGTGAGCACAATCTCCTCAAGCTCTACAATTAGCTCCGACCAGTGAGACTCCTCCTCCTCCTTCTCCTCCTCCGCCGCTTCCGCCACCTTCACCTCCCCAACAACCAACCCTTCAACAACCTCCACCGCTTCAACCACCATCGTCGTTCTCCCTTTCTCCAATCCCACAGCTCTCGCCTCTCTCTTCTCCTCCACTCTAAACCCTAAATTCTCCCCAATCTTCTTCGCCTTCTCCACCACATCCTCCGCCGAAACCTTCGCCGTAAACCTCCTCTCCTTCCTCCTCCTCCTCTGAAACAGCCCCGATAAATCCAATCCCGACGACAACGCAATCAAATCAAACGCCGTCATCGACTCACTGCTCAATTTCCCCAATCGATCGTCAATTTCGAAAACACTAGATTGAAATTCAGAGATTTTGAGCGATTTTTTAAACCAATTGGTTTTCGTCACAGCTTCGATACTCATCCTCGTCTCCGGATTCGGATCGAGAAGCTTGTAGATAATCGATCGAGCCGGTTTCGAGATCCAGTGAGGGAATTTGTAATCTCTTCTCTGGATCTTCCTGTACATCATTACAACGTTGGAATCGTCGAAAGGAACGTAACCTGCGAGGAGAACGAAGAGGAAGACGCCGCACGACCACGAATCCGCCTTCGCGCCGTCGTATCCTCTCTGAGCGATTACCTCCGGCGCTGTGTAAGCCGGCGTGCCGCAAGCCGTGTGGAGCATCCCGGTGCTGCTACGGTGCTCCGGCAAAGCCGATAAGCCGAAGTCGGAGACCTTGAGGTTTCCTTGCTTGTCGAGAAGGAGATTCTGCGGCTTCACGTCGCGGTGAGCGATTCCGTCACGGTGGCAGAAAGTGAGCGCGGAGGCGAGTTGCTGGAAGTAACGACGCGCCGCCGGTTCATTGAGCCGGCCGAACCGGAGGATTTTCTCGAAAAGCTCTCCACCTGTGGCGAGCTCGACGACGAGGTAGATCTTTGTTTTGGTGGCCATGACTTCGTGGATTTTGAGGACGTTTGGGTGGTGGTGGAGACGGCGCATCGCTTCGATTTCTCGGATTATTCTCGGTCCCATACCGGCTTCTTCGGTTTTCTTCTTGTCTATGATTTTGACGGCCACGAGCTCGCCTGTTTCGATGGAACGAGCCACATGGACTTTGGCGAAGCTACCGCTGCCGAGCCGGCGACCGAGTTCGTATTTACCGAGGAGAGTGGTCCCTGTGAGATTCTCCGACGATCGTGGAGTTTTAGAGCCCATGGTGGATGGTGGGGACTGAGGAAATGGTGCCGGAGGGAGCATGAAGTTTTTTTTTATTGTTTTTTATTTTATTTTAAAGAGGTTTTGGGGACGTTGGATTATGGTGACTGTTTTCTCTGTTTTTATAGGGGAAGTAAAATAGATTTTAGTGGTTGTATATTGTGATAGTGGTAAGAAATGTGTGATGGTGGTAAAAAGTATACTTATCTACTGTGGAATTTATCAGTTATATTAAGCTTTGTTTACTTAAACTTTGTTCAATATATGGCACATATATCTGTTTATATAATAATTTGTTTTCTAAAAGTTGGATAAGACTATAATTTCGATTTGAAATGAATGAAGTCATTTGATTTTTAAAAAATTATAGTGGCAGCGGTACAAAAATGTCGGTACTTAAGATAAAAGAAAATAACGGTAAATTGCAAAAGTATATTTAAAAGTTTATAAAAAAAAAAATTTGGCGCGAAAGGCTTAATAGGTACTGTGTTAGTTTAAACCATTATTTTTTTAAAAAATATTATATTGCTTACCTAATATCTCTGAAAATAAGCTTATATATTTTCGTAGAAAAAACATTGAGTACGCTTAACGCACTAAGAAAAACAATTACAATTGTATATTTTGATTTGCTTTGAAATTGATTTTTGATGTGAAATGTTTTTTTAGTAATAGTTCTTCCATCTCAAAATAAATTTGACGTTTTGAAACATTAGTTTTAATTTCTCTGTAAAGAGTTTCATTGTATATTTTTATATACAGATTTTCAAATTAAAATTAAAATTGTATCTCTTTTATTTTACCTTATTAATTGAACATTTCTATTTATTAAATATAATAATAAAAATTTTCATATCAATTTACATTTTTTCTTTTATGTTTAGAAAATGGTAATATTTTGTTTTTGTAAGTGGAGAAAATAGCTTTTATGACATAGATTTTGTAAGTTTTGACAGATGTATATAGATGTAAAGGTGAATGGTGTTAATTTAACATTTATTGCATTAATTATGATAAATTTCTATAAATAATACTTCAAGAAAATATATAAACAAGTTGTATAATTAATTCAAGCAAGGTGGCATAATTATTAGTGGACCTAAATATGAGTACTTGATTCAAAAACAGAAAATATTAATAAGCAAATTATAAATATATATATATAATTTATAATATATGGTAAAAGAAATCTGTAACATTTTAGGGGCATTTAAAGATTCACACTATAATTTGATGGTGTCAAAAAATAATTTTGCCAATGTATTTCACTAAAATATATTAAAATTATAAAATAGAGTCTAACTAATTCACCTATCTACAAGAACAAATTCAATCATTCAACGATGTAGATAGAATATACGCATTAGCGTAGAGCAGGATCTGTTCCAGGGTCTATGAATTTTATTAAGTTTTTTTTTAGTTTTTTTTACATAATATATATAATAAAATATCAATATATAAACAAATAAAACTTCATAACATTTCTTTATTTTCATCACCAAGTTTCTATAAAAATAGTTTATTTTAAAAAAAATATTATGTTTTTAAAAGATAGAGTTTTAATTTTCTTAAGGGCCTAAATTTTTCTTTTTCACACAAAGGCTTCAAAAAAACATTGAAATTGAATTTTGAGACTAAGCATTTGTTAATAACACCAAATTAAATTGGTAAGAATTGAAAGAAGTGTAATTATGTTTTTAATTGATGATTTTATCAAGGTACAATATGTGTTCAAGTGAATCATTTTTTGCTCGTCCACTCCATTTGCCTCCTCATATTATTTCCATTAAAGTCATTGAATTCATATTAATACCTTGAATCTATCCGTTTTAGTATGAGTTGATCATATTTCATGGATTTCCGGAATAATAAGCGGGCCTATATTGAAATGTGTAAGTTATGGCTTGATCGTTCAAAGTGTCTTGGCCGATAATTCGGTTCAAATGACTTGCTAACATTTAAACATGTTGAAAAACATAACCTAATTTTTTATTAGGCTTTTGTAAATAAATTTTGTATGCAATATCCTATACAGCTATACTAATCCAACACTAATTAATAGAATATATACTACAAAAAACACTGATGTGTTTTTGATGGTAGTTTTTGACGACTTTGTTCGTCTGAAAATTCCTACATTCTAAAGAAAAATTATACGTCAATATTTCATTGAAATTTTTTGAAAACAAAATATGATAATCAAAAGCTTTTTTGGAATATATATATCATCAAAATTTACCAATAAATTAATTAAATGTTATCATTTTTCCAATCTCTTACATGGTTGCATCTGGAATATAAAAATAAAAACAAACTTCTCCATCTATTTTTTCCGCCATGAACATAATATCCAAAATTTTGGATACATATTTCATTTAAAATTGGAATCATCAAGGATGAAATGGAGCATTTGTTTGCTTACATTTATTATTATTATTATTATTTTGTTAAAGCTTTTTCCTTTTTTTTGTTAAAGGTTTTCCTTGCTGTACATTATTATTTCATATATATTTTATATTATGACGACCGTGAAATAAATAGTACCATAAGAGGAGTAGTTCTTTAGTACTACTTTTTCCGCTAATCCACACGTGAATAAATTTTCGTAAAACAGTATAGTTTGATAATTAACATATAAAGGTTTTTAATCCTTTCATGACACAATTATTATCGAGGTCAACTTTTACACGTCTTAATGTTTTTTTAAAAAGGTTTTACTCGTTCCATAAATTCCAACAGTTTATTTAAAAACATGGTAGTCATCGGAAAAACGAATTGCTTTAAAAATTGTGTATACTGTTGTATACGTGAATATCTTCTGTAAAACCTTAGGAGCAAATACTCAGAGAAGACATGTATGCAACAACAGCTTCATTTGGCTTATATATAAAGAAATCATAAATTATTATATCTTTTCTTTTAAGTCGTACATTTTTTTTTAAAAAAGGTGATTTGGGGTTTCATCAAATACTTTAACAATATAAATTCCAACAAAAAAATAATAAATCAAAATGTATCTTTTTAAAAAAATAGGTGATTATCCGTACCATGTACGGAGTAAATATTAACCATAATTTTTTTATTTGAATATATAAATATAATTACAAAAATATGAGCTGATATTTATAATTACAAATATATATATTAATTATGCAATTATAATGAATAATTAAAAATATATTTATTTTATAATATAATTTTATAAATGCTAAATAAATATATTTATTTTATAATTAATTTTAATAGTAATTTTATTTAAATAAAATTCCACATTAAATATATTATTACGTTTTATCTAACCGGTGTAACATACTTTGTTTTGATATAAAATATTTAAATTATAATATATATGAAAAATATTTTTTTTATTATTAAATAGATACTATAATTATTTTTTAAACAAAATTAAAAGTAAAAAAAATGAAATAAAAAATATAATATTTAGTAACATAAATAATATTATATATTAAATTATTATAAATTGTTGATAAGAAAGAGAAAGAAAAAACATATTTTATAAATTAAATATTTAAATATTAAATATATAATTGATATAAATTAATTTCAAACCAAATTAATGTTAATGACATGTGATATAATTAATCTATTTTTAAGAAGCTCTTTGAAATTGATATCTCATGGTTAAGTTGCTAATAACACATAACATAAAATTTTTTTTTTAAATTTATTTTCTAAATAATAATGAAAATTGTAAAATAACTATTACTCCTTAGTAATTCAAAGTTCATAAAAATATCTTGTTGTCGTTGTTTTATTGTTTATTACTTTCACCTGTCATGTTTTATAGAAAGAAATCTCTAATCACTGTTTCTATTGGTCATATGGAGTGAGTATTTTTTTTCTTTTAAAAAAACGGTCCATATCAGTGGGACCCATCTTTTTAATGATTCTTTTGTAATCTTGTTGTTCGCAGTCAAGATATTCCACCTGACGTTAAACTAAAAAAACTCTTCATTAGTTTGTCTTCACGTACATATATAATTAATTAATTAAGAAATACAAAGGATATTTACGTCATTTGAATATTCCCTTGCTCTTTCCTCGTGAGCCGCCTTTAGCAACCGTCAAGATTGTTTGGTGATTGTCGAGAGAAAAGCCAACGGCTCTCATTAAGTCACGTCATCGAATGTCTTGGGCCCCACTTGATTCAAGAATCAAAGTAACGGAAATAAAAAAAGGCATGCAAATGACGTTTTAAATTTTCCCCACTCAACTTTGGCATATTCGTCTTAACTAAACCGCACTATAACATGAGAAAGGTCCTAAAGGCATATAAGTCCATATTTGAAGAACGGTTTTTAACATGAGAAAAGCTTCTCATGGATATTTGGAATCTTTTTATGTACTAAAAAATATTTCGGAAATTGTATTATACTAGGTGACTAGGTATTTAGTCCGCGACTTGTACGGATCAAAAAGTTTCATTGAAACCTAAAATAAAATTTTATGTTATAAATCAAAAAATAATTAGATCAAGAATTTGATACATACAAAATTAGAATAAAGCTAATCTATGAAAGTAATTATTGTCTAATATTAAAAACTTTAAAATCAATACTAATAAGTGTATGAAATCAATAAACACAAACTAAAATAAAATTAATATGAATTATTCATCTTTTTCTTTTTTTATTTTTTAATTTTTTTTCTCTATCATTTTCTTCTTTCTTTCTTTTTTTTTAGTTTTTTGTTTTTTTTCTTCTTTATTTTCTATGTCTTTTTTTAATTTTTATTCTACTGGTTTTTCTTTTTCACGTCTTCTTCTTCTTCTCCACATCTTTTCCTTTTTCCTCTCATACATCTTTTGATTTTCTTCTCTTCCAGGTTTTAACCCCGTGCGTCTGCACGAGAATGTTTTATTTTTTATTTCTAATATAAGTTGCATTTTTTTTTTTTTGTTTAGATATAATTTATTTTTGTTATTTATTTTTTTTAAATAAAAAAATTGTTATCATATTTTAATTTTAAACAGTAAAATTTGTCTATTAGTAGAATAAGAGTATACGTTAATTAAGTATACATTGATCTAATG